TTGCTTTTTCAGATGACACTGATATAATTCCCAGAAAATACAGTTATGTACAATAACCCTTTTTTGGCACTGGACAGAAAGACAAGCAAAATGAATTTATCAATTACTCTGAATAAAACTTAATATCTTTCATAAACAAATTTCTGATAACTACTAGGAAACAGATTCTTATATTAAATAAACACATTTAAAATTGTGTTTGTATTAATATGCAACAGAAAAGCTTCATCCTTTTGAAGTCTGAAGTCGTCATTAACAATAATATTGCACTAGAAATACACAAAAGAATCATAGCAGCAAAGAAATGTTTCCTTGCTTTAATAACAAAAATATTTAGTCAAGCTTAATTAAAAGAAAAATTAAAATAACAAAAGTTTAATCAGATCTGTATTCATGTACTCATATTCATCTGAAACACAGACACTAATTCAAGGAGATGAAAAAAAATCCTAGAAATCTTAGATATTATATCTTTGACAAGAATGTAATACAAATAAATAAATGGCATGAAGAAAATGATCAGATTCAGAATTTTATGAAGCCTATAGTGAACCAAATATAGCTGTGTTCATAAAAATTATAAAAATAAAACAGATTGGCTATGTAATATGAATGGAAAATGCTGAAAATGCTGAGTTGTTTTTGGCCAAACCAATTGGCACACAATAAGAGGCAAATGTAGATGAGTAAATTACTTTGAAAAAGAATTTCATGTGTTCAAAAATAAAAAATGAAGGGCAGTGACAATAAGTAAATCAGCCTAGAACTGTCATCCAAAGGCCAACTCAAGCTGTCATACAAATGAAGTTAAAAAAAAAAAAAATTAATAAAAAATTGCATAAATTATAAGAATATTGTTACGAATTTGGTATTTAAAAAGCTAATGTTAGTTCAATTATAAATTAAATGGTTTTATTTCTCGCGCAGTGCAGCGCGTGACGAACATTAAAAGAAAGCTAAGCCGGAAAAATTAAAAATACAAGAGCGCGTGCGTTAAATAAATAAATATCTCTTTTTGATTTCGAGAAAGTACTGGAAAATTCTAGCGCGTGATTTTAAAATCTTATAAAAGGAGGAAAACATCTCAGTTTGTAGTAGTTGCTTAGTTTGTTGTTGTTTAGAAAACTGCTGTTGTTGATTGTAGCGAATTCGCGGATTAGCGTTCTTTAGCTGTTTTGAATTACGTTCTATTGGACATTTGAGTAGTTAAAAGATAAACTACTGTGAGATATTGTAATACTGCATGATAATTTGAGAAAATTTAAGCATTTTGTTTTGTGATAATAATAAATTTTTGTTCATTTTTCATCGGACTTGTGCATTCATTTCATAACGAACCCGTACGCACGCAACAATTTTTGGTGTCAGAAGTGGGATTTGAATGCCAATAACAAGAGCGATGGAAGAGCAATTAAGGCAATGATAACAGCCTTTGCCTCGTTTAAAGAAGAAATGAAATCTAGCCAAGGAAAAGATGGAAGGGGCCGTCAACTCGTTAAGGACGAAATGAAAGCCGTTCAAGCTGGTCAAGAAAAGATTGAAGCAGGTCAAGAAGAAATGAAAAGAGAAATTTACCTGCATAATAGAAAATAAATTTGAAGCTATGGAAGGCAGAATTGACACAGTTGAAATAAAGTTGGACTAATTGAAGAAAGAGTTTCTTCGGTGAAAGAAGAAATAGAAGAAAGAGTTTCTTCTGTAAAAGAACATATAGAAGGGAGAGTTTCTGCTGTGGAGGAACGAATTGAAGGAAGAGTTTGTGCCGTCCAACACCAAATCGAACAACAAATTGATGAGAGAGTTTCTGCAGTTGCCAAAGAAATGGATACTTTAAAGAAATTCGTAGCGTCGGCAGGGAGCAGGAGTGATGATTTTAAATTCTTACCAATGCCTGCTCGTCCACCTCTGAAGCTATCCACATATGATGGGAAGACCTCCTGGCAGGTGTATAAGACACAATTTTCTATCGTGGCGGATGCGAATGGATGGGATTCCCAAGCTAAGGCCTGTCATCTCGCCGCTTCTCTAAGAGCCGACGCAGCGGATATCCTGCAGACTCTTCCCGAAAACAAAAGGTTAGATTTCGAAGCTCTGTCCGGCGCCTTGGAGCTGCGCTTTGGGGAGAAGTGTTTAAAAGACTACAGCAGGCTCCAATTAAAATCCCGTCAACAGAAGCCCACAGAATCACTCCAGGAACTCGCCACGGATGTTGAAAGGCTGTCCCACCTCGCCTTTACGGAGTGCCCGACAGAAACAGGGGAAATCCTGTCCTGCAATATTTCATCGATGGCATCCGGGACCCTGAAATACAGAAAGCACTGCGAATGGCGATGTTAAAGATTTGAAAAGCGCTCTTAGTGTACGCCATGAAATTTGAGGCAGCCCAGCAAGCAACTCTTAGGGATCGCTACCCAGTCAGAGCTGTGCGAGTCCACGACCCAGGGGACCAATTGATGGCTCGTTTAGATGATTTATCCAGACAAGTCGATGCTTTGATACGGAGTAGTAGCAGTGAGAACAAAGTGGCTGTAAGATGTTGGAGATGTGGTTCTGAAGGTCACCTACGACGGCATTGCAGAACACCCCAGGGCACGGATAATAAAACGGATGAGTTGACAAGACCAGTGAATGCTTTAAGACGGAATAGTGGTGAAACAAAACCGACCCTAAAGTGCTGGAATTGCGGTGTTGAAGGCCACCTACGAAGGAACTGCAGAACTCCCCAGAGCACGGAAAATAAGGCATACGATTTAAACAGACAATTAAATGCCACGGGAAGGAAAAGGACTGACAAGAAACCAAAGTGCTGGAACTGTGGAGCTGAAGGCCACGTACGAAAGAATTGCAGAACACCCCAGGGTACGAAAATTGAGACAATTTCTGAGCAACGACGCAGGAAACAAATTAATGACCATATCAAGGAACGGAGGTTGCCAGATAATGAAAAACCCTGTTTTAAAAGCGCTTAAGATCTCTATAGTGAGTGGCAACAATAACGGACTGTCCATCAATGGGAATATCGATGGAGTTCCTTGCAATATGATCATTGACACAGGAGCTAATGTTACCATCATTAGGAAAGATTTAGCTGAACAGTTTAAAGATAAACTTATTTGGACGCCATCCTGTGTTACCCTTCAGACTGCGTCTGGTGACAAGATCGACATAACTGGGAAGTTAAACGTAAACATCACGTTTGGAAGTGCCGCCTACCATCACACGGCATATGTGGCGGATATTACAGATCCATGCATACTCGGATTGGACTTTTTAAGGAAATACAATTTTTCCTTAGATTTCAAAAACAATAAGCTGCTTTCAGCATCTGATGGCATGACTATCCATCCTCAAAAGGGATCCTCGCCTGGAAATGTCGACGCCTTGTCCGAAAGATCGAGCTCGGGAAGCTGCCGAAATCATACCAGGGTCGAAAAGAAACTCAAGACTACCAGCTATTCTCCATCCCAGAAGCTCTTCGGTCGAGACCTTCGTCTGCCTTGTGACCGCCTGTTTAGTCGCCCTACGGATGCGCCTTCATCGCCTGAGGAACACATCCAAGATGCCCAGGCCCGGTTTTAGGGGATGCACCGTTCTGCACGAAAGCGAGTCAACTTGGCGACGGAGAAAATGAAGACCAGATGCGACACAAGAGCTACTAGACATAGATCCAACAAAGGAGACAAGGTGTGGTTGTGGAACCCAATTCAACGAAAAGGACTGAGTCCTAAATTACAGTCACCTTCGGATGGTCCATATACAGTGCTGAACACGAATGACGTCGTGGTTCGGATCCGTGAGTCTTCGAACTCTTACGACAGGTTAGCTTATTACTATGGCCATAGTACGTAATGTAAATAATTGTAAAGTATTAGACCATGGTCCTTTTTGTTTTTAAATGTGTATTTGATTTGATTTAGTATTTGATTTGTATTTAGTATTTGATTTGCGTTTAGTATTTGTTTTGTATTTAGTATTTGATAGCATTTGATTTGTTTAAGTTAGTTATTGCATTTATTGTTTATATTGTTTGATATTGTAATGTAATGTTTATGCCTCAGTTGCATTTATGCCACAGTTGTAAGTTTAGCTTCCTGTCCAGGGATTGTACTGCCCGGGACGTGCAGTCCTTGGGAAGGGGGCAGTGTTACGAATTTGGTATTTAAAAAGCTAATGTTAGTTCAATTATAAATTAAATGGTTTTATTTCTCGCGCAGTGCAGCGCGTGACGAATATTAAAAGAAAGCTAAGCCGGAAAATTAAAAATACAAGAGCGCGTGCGTTAAATAAATAAATATCTCTTTTTGATTTCGAGAAAGTACTGGAAAATTCTAGCGCGTGATTTTAAAATCTTATAAAAGGAGGAAAACATCTCAGTTTGTAGTAGTTGCTTAGTTTGTTGTTGTTGTTTAGAAAACTACTGTTGTTGATTGTAGCGAATTCGCGGATTAGCGTTCTTTAGCTGTTTTGAATTACGTTCTATTGGACATTTGAGTAGTTAAAAGATAACTACTGTGAGATATTGTAATACTGCATGATAATTTGAGAAAATTTAAGCATTTTTGTTGTGATAATAATAAATTTTTGTTCATTTTTCATCGGACTTGTGCATTCATTTAGTAACGAATCCGTACGCACGCAACAATATAATATAACACAAATCAACTTTCAGATTACTTCAAAATTTTAAATAACGGTTACAAAATGTTGTATGATGATTCCAACTACTACTCATTCACACCAAATTATTTCTTAAGACTTTGCTAAATGATCACTAAGGGGGGGGGGGAAAAAAGCTATTTATTACTTTTGTTCAATCAAAAACAAAAGGGGGAGGTTTCTAAGCTTCTTCAATATTTATAAGGTAAAAATTGTAACCAGAGTTTTGTTAAAATGAAGTTCTTTTTTTTTTTTTTTCCCCCGCAAACTAAGCTTAGTTTTATTTGACAAACAAAGAAAGCACAAAATGAACATATTCTTATTAATACACAACAGAAAAAGTATTAAAAGATAAATGGCTAGTATTTATTTTTTGCTTCATAAATTTAACAATAAAATCACAAAACTTAATTTACCATGATCACATTTCGTTACATTTAACTTGTAACAATATATTGGAAAATGGCCCACAGGCAATGGGACAAGCAAATTGAAACTAATTTCAATAAATGTTAAAATATACATAGAAATGAAATACTTCCATAGAATTTAAATATAACTGTGATTTAATATATCATATTCTATGGTATTTTATTTTAAAACTTTTTTTTTTTTTTGTCCCTTGCAGTCAGGATGATGACAATTTACTTTCAAGATTTTTATACAGCTACCAAAAATAAATGGACTGATTAAAAAATAAGAACTGTTAATATCTACATGCAGTAAAAATGAAAAAGCACTTTTAGAAACAGTTGGTTTTGCCAATGCAGAATACTTTTGTAATAATGTCCAATTACACTAAGTGCTTAGCATTTTATGGACGTCATCATGCTTCAAAATTTACAGTAGTAGAACAGTAATTTGTTAAAGGCCTAAAAAAGAAGAAATATATTAAAGCCTTCAATAACAAACAATAATAATAATGCATAAATATCATCAAAATCATCAAAAAAATGAAAAGCCACTTTATAAAGTAATAAATATTACATAATTTACTGTAAATAAAAATTACGAAGCCAAGGTTATCCACATACAAATTTCCTTACCTAGCCTCTCCCCCTCCAAAAAAAACATTAATTACAATTATTTTAAAGCTTTCGCCCCCCCCCTTTTTTTTTGGAAAAACCTACAGAATGATGTTAAAAAATACTTAAACAAAATTTTTTAAACAGCATACTGTTTACCAAATACAATTATACATAAAATTCCAGATAAAAATATTATATTTTAACATATAAAGGTGTCTCATTTCTTATAAAACCATAATTGATACAGTAAAAAAAATATTACTTTCTTCCAACAGTCTATTTTTTTTACTCCTTTGCAAAAACCTTCAATGGAACATAATTACACACAAAATTATTTTGTCTAACCTTAAAAACCTACAAATACCTAATAAGATCTAAATTATATATATAGCATCTAAAAAAATAAACCAGTTATTAACCAAAAAAAACCACAGAATCAAGACCCCCCCCAAAAAAAAGAACTGCTGTTCAAAGAATTACAGACATAAAATTCTGCTGCAACTCTTTAAAAGTAAATTAATTTTTACAATAATATAACTAAAATGCATACATGAATTACTTTTATCTAATGCAATATATATTTTCATTCCTCAAAAGTAAAAAATTTCTAAAACAATGCAACAATTACATGTAACTAAATATGGCAAATATATTATTGGCATGCCAAGAAATCTTATATCATAAACATTAAAAAAAAAAAAAAATACATTAAACCATCTACTGTAGTTCTGAAAATTTATGAACACTATAGAAATAATTACCATAAGTTTTAAAAAACTATTACAATTTTTAAAATAAATCTTTTTATAAAAAAGTATCTTTTATCATTGAGTTTTGGAGTGGTCAAAACTGACTGAAAACTATAAGAACTTTGAGTAGTCCACAATAGATATTTTCTGAATAATGAAAATAAATTATTTTTTTTAATATTAAACATTATTTAATACTTACCACATGTTTCTAGCCTTCTTGCCCAAAATCATCCATAAACTTTTTGAGTTTTATTAAGTCAGTGTCATTTACTGTGGGCTTAGAATTTGCCAATGATAATAGCATATCAGCCTGTAGTTCATGATAAAAGAAAAATTAGAAATTTTTTAAGGTTAATAAAAAAGGTTACATTTAACTGAACATGGTGGTGAACTGAACAGACTGTGGTGAAAATTTTAGTAACTATAAATTCAATAGTACAAGAAATGTTTGAATAATTTAAATTGAAGAAAAACAAAGCAATAAGAGGTAATAAAATATTTATTAATTTTCAACTTATAAAAAATTGTGAGCTTAATGAGTTTAACCAACACATAATAAAACTCATCTGGAAGGAATGCTAATAATTGCCATATTTGCAGGCGTATAAGATGCACCAGTCTATAAGACACACCTCCTTTTTTATGTACATTTTTGAAAGTTTTATTACTGATCATTACAATGAATTTACAGTATATTAAATATAAAGTAATATGAATACAAAGTAATACTGCAAATACCCAATATATCTGGGAAAGAACACCTTTTAATCTCCTTCGTCAAAACCCAGACACTCATCTCTAGAGCTAAATGAAGAGTTATATTGAAATGAAGAGCTAAATGAAGAAATGAATTGAAACCTCTTCTAAATCAGCATCTGAGTCCTCATACAACAATTTGTCCTCTGTACCATCCAGTGCATTAATGATGCCCCACTTCTTAAATGATTTAACACTCTCTCTGCTTTCACAGCATCTTATGAAGCCTTGACCCATTCACAAATGACGTATCGATGCGATAAGTATCAGCATGGCATATATATAATACGCGATAAGTATCAGACGCACCTTGTTTTTCAGATCTATTTTCAAAGGAGAAAAGTGCTTCTTATACACCAGCAAATACAGTAATTCCCAGGAATTCCAGTTTTTTTTTTTTTTGTGTGTGTGTGTGTGTGTGTGTGTGAGGGCGAGGGGTTAAGGAAGAATCAATTTGCATAATTAAAAAAACATATAAACAACTTAAAAGCTAGACTTCTAAATAACTGTGATTTTGTAAATGACAACTAAACTAAAATGACTACCCCTCTGTCTGGCATGGGGTTTCGCTAAAAAAGACCAAATTTCCCAAATCTCCCTCAAGAAAGAGGTATTTTTTGATTTTAATGTCAAAATAGCCCTGAAACCATATACTTGGATTTACGTACTTTTAACATATTGTCTTAATTTCTTAGACATATTTCAAGATGCACACACTCTCCCTCAAGAAAGAGGTATTTTCTGATTTTAATGTCAAAATAGCCCTGAAACCATATACAGTCAACAGTCGTTAATTCGGACACCCATAATCCGGACCTCAAAGCTACAAACTTTCTGCACATGCACCGCGTTGACATATGATCTTTACGGCTGCGAATATGCGTGCGCACATGCGCATAATATGTTTATGCATGTGCGTTTAATGTATAACAGACGGTATAAGCTAAGCTAAAATTATCTAATTCAGTTAATGTTGCAGATTGCGTTGTTCCTTAATCTTCGAATTGGATCCGGCTTATTATTTTTTGCAGACTGTTAGAGCAATTTTATAAAAGTAAGCTTGAACTTTCGATTATGTCAAATAGAATTTCCGATATATATTTACTAATATATAAAGGATGTACAAAGCGAAAGTATGTTTCGAAGTCCATTAAACAAAATGTGGAATTGCTGCAAAAAATGAATAAAGGCATAATCCTTTGTTTATCTAACTCTTCCGAAATCTGTTTATCAATTTCACGCTGCTCAGCAGCGGCATGGGGGGGGACGCCGCGGCGCGCAATGAATTGGAAGTTGATCTGTCAGCACTATCCTTATCTTCAGGGCAGATGTTTTTTTATTTTATTTGGCTTATAATTCCTTACTAAATGTGGTATTTCATCTCGATGTACTCCGTCTTTGATATGATTTAAATCAAATTCCTCGTCATTATAATTCGCTTCCGATAGTGAAGAACGTGACACAGAGGTTATTGAAAACGAAAAAATTTTGATTGACAAATTAGTCGGTATTCTCGACAAGAGCAATTATAGGACTTCAACAGTGGAACTTTGTAACTGAAGTTACAAATGTTTGTTTATAGAATTAAAGAGAACGTTATCACATAAAACAAAGCAACTTAAACAACTTACATTGAAAGAAATGTTTAATAAAGTAAACAAATAAATATTAAGCTTTTTTTTTTTTTTTTTGTAAATTTTGATACCCTTTAGATCATAATTGTTCTTTATTTCATAAGTTACGGTTTCATATTTTTAATTTCATAATTTCTGCATGCCATCTTACCAGATTTAAACTGATGATCTATAATCTGGAAAAATTGATAATCCAGAATCGCCGCAGTCCCGACGAGTCTGGATTAATGACTTTTGACTGTACTTGGATTTACGTACTTTTAACATATTGACTTAATTTCTTAGACATATTTCAAGATTCACACACACATATATACATAAATTCTAAATAAAAGTAATTATGAATAAATTAATAAGCCTCTAACCTGCGCTAAAGCTGCAAAGTAATAAACCAATAATTTATTATAAGAAAACATCTTCATATACCATCTCAAGAACCGAAATTCAATTCAAATAGGGGGAAAAAAAAAAAGAAAAAAAAAAATTAAAAATTCTTAGAAGAATTTACAGTTTTAATTGGATAAGCACCTATATGGGCCTTTATATTTTATTTTCAAATATAAAAACTTATAAGCACTTGTGAGGACCGCTACGAGCCCTGTGCAAGGTGCATTAATATATTACAGGATCACATCATTCCTAGTATGGGTGTCAAACACCCAATGGAAGGTATGACTTTTTGCAAGATGGCACTCCATCCCATATTGCTACACATGTGAAAGATCTCTTGTGCAGATCATTTGGTAAGGAATGCATGCAGAGCTGCCACTTCTGTCATGCTTGACCTCTCAGGTCCCCAGATCTTAATCCATGTGATTATTGGTTGTGGGGTAACCTGAAATTGCACGTCTACTGTAATTGTCTGATCTCATTATGGATGCTAAGAACTCACCATACCTACAGATATGCTGTACAGTGCTGTTCACAACATTGTCCTTAGACTACATGTGTTGTTGATGAATGATGGCCCGACGTGTTGAACTTTTATTATAAAAAACATAGTCTTTATTAAAAAATCAATTGTCAAGCTAATTATTGCTTTTGTCATAATATGAAGTGCCATCTGTATGACATTTTAAGTTTATTTATTTATTTTTTATTTAAAAAAAAAACTGCATTTTTTTTTTTTCAAGCATGTGTGTCAGTTTTTACTCTCTACCTACATTATTCAGTCAATTAATGAATTTTCAAATGTTAATGGACTTTTGGGTCACCCAGTATATTACAAATGGAATACTAAGCCTGACTTCAAAATATTTTAGTGCAATTTCTTTTGAAACATTTATATTTAGTTGCATAATATTTAAAGAAGTCACAGCTTGATTATGGGAGGGGGGAAAAAGCTTAATTTTTTTTTTTAAAGCTCTCTTTTATTGTTGAAGAATAATTGGAAGATACTTGATTTGAACAAATCAATATAAAACATTCTTTAAGTTAAAAAAAGACCATGGAATACTTACCATAGTAACAATAGGCTCAAGTAATTTATCTCCAGGAACTTGAACCCATGTCATTTCTACTCCATTAGGATCACCAGGGGAACAAGGAGTCCAAAGATCATCCACTATGATATTTGGATCCGAACGAGAAGGTCCAGTCACCTATGAGAATATCATCAAAAACACAAGGCATCTTTGTAAAATACATTTTCATTTTCAAAAAATTTTAAAAACAAAATAGTAATTCAGTTTGAGCATGAAGTTACAAAAATTACTAAAGAAGTATATGTATTTATTTATATTAAGACTACTCCATACCCTGAGAAGGCAATAAATCTAATTTTTTTTCAAGGATACAAGCCTACACAGATCAAAAGAAAAGAAAGCACTTGGAAGAAAATGCTCAGAACATTAAGAGTGGTTATAAAGAAGCTTTAGATTCATGATAAATATATAACTGTATACTTCATATGGTGAACTTACTTATGAACATTTATTAAACTGCCAACCCTTCCCTAACTTAATATTTGTTTTTACTTTCAGTTCTATCTATTACTACTTTACTCGGCTGTATACCTTAAACTGCTCACTATTCCCTAATTTAATATTTGTTTTTACTTTCAGTTGTATCTATTATTACTTTATTACTTTAGTCACTTTCAGATTAAAAAAACAGCATAAAATACCATAGTTATATTATTTTGACATGTTCTCTCTATTTTTTGATAAACTATTTACTGTTTGGAGCTCTGGATATGGAATGGATGATTGTACCTATAATGCTTTTGGAGACAAGCATCATCTAAAATATCTGCCTTTTTAACATAATGTGCAATAACCGAATCTAATTTTGAGGTTTTCAACTTCCAAACTTAAGTGCCTGTATCACAAAGAGACCCTGAAATAAAAGCTTTAAGCCAAGACCTTAAGTTGCTTTGTCATCAGCCTATAACATCTTTCAATAGTCAAGTTAAACTAAAAAATGCTAAAAAGGATGTTGTTACATAAAAAGTGTTTTTACCCTTTTAAAATGAGTTGCAGTCTGGACCTTTCTCACAGGCTGCATTAGAGAATCTCGGACCAGAACAGATATATCAGCTCCTGAATAGCTATATTAACAGTCAGGAAAACATATATTGAATAAGTGGTAAAAATGTATTGGATCATATTAAATTAAGTAATGTGTCATATTATAACATTTATATTAAATGTCACAACAAATGCTACTTAATTCTGAATGCTAAGTATACAAATTTCTCATTAGAATTCGAAAATTAGATACTTTTCAATACATAATTAAATACTGTAATATATGCATTAGTAAGACCATTTTATACCAAAATGTCTTACACACTGAAAGATTTATCTCTTTTATAATAGCAAACATTAACTGTAAAGTGAAAATGAATAGAATGAAATCTACCTTAACAGACTTCTCATGTAGAAACTATTTTTTACTACTTGGACCATATCTGTGTATACACAAAAGTTTTAACACTAAAAATCAAATTATTATCATTGCTACATAATTATATTAATAATATCTTGACTTACTAAAATAAAGACTATAATAAATATATCACTCAAACAATCTGTATAAAGTTTCAAAATGTGTTAACATAATAAATAAATAAAAGTATGGTAAAGAATTTTTGGGATTGATAATTTCAATATTTGGAACATTTAAAGAGTTAAAAAAATATGGGTTTTACTGGTGCATTTATATATGGTGAACAAATAATAAAATTTTATTATGTTATACAAAATTTACTTATACCCATTATCTTGACAAACCATGCATTCATTTAGCTCTAAAAACTAAATAACAGAGTTTTTAAAACAGAGAGTTGTAAAACCTCACCCACCAAATACTTCAGTATTTCATTTTTTGGAAGCTCTGACCTTTGGAAGCTATTTACCCCCAAAACGACTTCTGCTGACCCCTTAAGTACTTTTTTCTTTCCATAGACAGCGAGGCAGCCGATCCACTGGGTAGTTAGCATATCGGCCAGGAAACCCCATTGACGGAAATAACTTGATCAACATAACACACTTATATACACATATTGTGCTCAAGACGAGTGCTGGGGGCAGTGTAAACAAATGCTGGACGAGATGATAGTGCAGTGATGGAAGAAGGGTGCATTGTGGGTGAGAAGAACAATTTCAGTTACATATTTACAGAGTTATGGATAGGCAGTTAACAAAGACATCCGCAACGTGAAAACTAGCATGAGTCCGTGCATATATATGTCATTAAACAAAGTGACTATCAAACAGTAAGTTAATATCTAAAATAGGGCTAATATAAATAGCAATACAAAAATTAAATAATTAAGATCTAAAAATCAAAATACATACATAAGTAAAAAAAGCAAACATTGAAAACAATACATAAAATAAGGCAAAATACATAATTCAAGGTTCATAATTTAGGGTTTACAGTTCAAGAAGATAAGTATATACAGGGAATAAGAACCCCCTCAAGTACTATATACTTGGCACTTATGTATTATCCCATGACCATGAAAATGTCGTCAAGCAATGCAATTTAATGCCAGTTATGGATAAGCATGCCATCACACATACTCACAATGCCTGCCCTTTCGTCTGACACAACCCCATATGATTTTTGATAAGCTATCTTTTATTTTTATGAACAAGCATATAAATTAACTGCTATTGCTGTATTTTTTCCTTGCATTTATGGGGGGAAGAGGTTTGAAGGTAGAAATACATTTGTGATTGAACTCTAGTCCATTTACAGCTGGTCAAACATCTGCAGAGGCATAGCTAAGGTTTTCAGCGCCCACGGACACCTAAAGATATAGCGCCCCTTTCAGTGTTCCAAGAATGAAAAACATTTCATTCTGAAATGTGTATCATCAATTTGGTGCCCCTGGATGCTGTGTCCAGGGACAGATGTCCCCCCTGCCCCACCCTACCTATGCCACTGAACATTTGTTGAAAGGTGGGGGGAAAACAGCTGAAAATCAAGGAACCTTTTTTATGAAGCAGGTTGAATATTTCCACAGCAGTGAGTTTTTGGAGAACTGTGCACAGAGACTGATGATGTTTTATTTAAAAGTTGCAGATAGAAGTGCAGCTCAGAATTCCAAATAAAAGACTGCCACAACTTTGGCAGATTTTCTGCCAACTTTTATAGCTTGATGGTAGCCAACTTTCAGGATGAACAGGATAATATGAAGTACCCCCCTTTTTTTTTTGCTTAGAGATAAGATTATTAATATTTTTGCTCTTCTAAATAAGAATTTTTCTGTTACTTTATTTCAAATATTAAGCTACTGCATTGCTCAACAAACTGTATCATCTGGTTGAAGAACAAAAATTTGATGTAATCTTTATTTTTCAAAATGATATTTATACAGGAACCTTCATACAGCAGACCACACTGAATAATATGGCACCATACATCCATTTAACACAGATTGCATGTATGTAAGTAAATGCCCTGTTCATGTCCAATTTTATGACAATGTTACAAAATAATAAAAAATACATAAAGCATAAATTAAGTTAAATAATGCCGATTTTGCAACTACATCCATAGAAGCCTACAAAAGTCTAGATATGAAACCTGTACCCATTCAAAATATCATATTTATTCAAAACTAAAGGTGATAAAAAGTGACGATTTAACAAGACACATTACCTAAGACCAAGACTTAAACTCAAAACTTATGGTATTAGATAGTAAAACTACATTGTATTCTGCTATAACATGAATACAAATTTTGGAAGGGAAGATGGGAAAACAAGACAAAACTAATATTCTTGTAAAGCTATAAGATATTGATAAAAAGACTGGAACTGAGTGCTGTGCTCACACTGGTAACAGTTGTTAATAAAGCAGTACAAAATCTTTTCTCCATCCCACAGAATTTATTGAAATTGCTTAATTGTTCACTGTGATTAGGAGAAGGGAACTCTTTATGAAATTGCAATTATGTCATAGCACATTCTCACACTCATAGACGTCCAAACACTATAGCAATATTACCACGTGATCCATTCTCACATTTACAAATAGTATTAGTGCACTCAGAAAAAAGGTATTACAGCCAAAAATATAACTCTTGTTTCTACTTTAAACCATAACTGTACTTTTGATGTAACTGCTTAAAATCTGACGATTATAATGGCACTCCCAATTTAAGAAATTACGACTCATAACATGTCGTAGAATGATTATTTACATTAATTCTTGGTGATCCACCACAAGCTTTACCACCAATTTATGCTCCCTAGGTATTTTAGCTGAAAGTGACTGACAGAAAGTATTATGAAACATAATTTCATAAACTTCAAGGAGAACAGAACATAGCAATCTGTAATGTTTTATGATGAACTTTAATCCCTGAATGAACATGTCTTATATCTGAATTTTATTGTTACTGGAACTGAAAATTTCTTTAAATGCTCTGCTTTCATAGATCAAAATAACATAATTCATTCAACAGCCCCTGCAAAGGAAAATAAGTATTGTGCTTTATATAACATCATGCATTACTTCTCAGTTTGCATCTTCATAAAAATATACTTATGTAGTTAACATGCACATAAAAAGTCATATGTATTTTATATCATATGTATTTGTCATATGTATTTTATATCATAATTTATTTAATCAAAATCTAACTGCATTGCTTTCAAACAAAATTACAATCACAGAATTTATACAAAAATAGAAGTAAAAATTTTAAATTTTACCCTTCTGTCTTTTTGGCAAGCTCTTTAATATTCTCTTCATTTAAAGAATTCGGAGTATTTCCAATGCTTAATTTGAATATAGCCGCTCTTGCTATTTCTTCAGGTAATGGAATGTATATTCTCTTTTCAAATCTATTAGAAATATCAAAATTTAATTATACATATATTATGAAGAAACAGAGAAAATTATAAACTACTCTGTTGCTAAAATGAAGTGCAACAAATTTAAAGTTGACACATAGCTGATAAGAGTAACAATAGAATGCAAGAAAAAAAATCAAATACAGTCAAAAGTCTTTAATCCGGACTCGTCGGGACTTCCGGATTCTGGATTATAGATCATCATTAAAATCGGGTAAGATGCAGGAAATTATGATAAAATATAAACCAATTTATAATTAGAGCACTATGAGCTAAAGATACCAAATTAAAAAAAAAAATTAAGTATGGTCTATTAACATTTCTTTCAAGCGCGCATGCGTAAAGCATACATTACGCATAGTGAATTAGAAAATTGCAAAAAACACTTTTGATGTGTGTTCCTGATATTATATAATAAGGAATTTGATTTAAATCATTCAAAGACTGAGTAACATCGAGATGAAATACTACATTTAGTAAGGAATTATAAGCCAAATAAAATACAAACATCGCCCTGAGATAAGGATAGTGCTGACAGATTAACTTCCAGTTCTTTGCCGCTGTGATTTCCCCCCCCTCCCCGCAAGCGCGAAATTGATAACAGATTTCGGAATGGTTCGAGAAATAAAGGATATGTCTTTATTTATTTTTTGCAGCAATTCCACTTTTGTTTGAAGGCATCGAACATGCTTCCGATTTGTAATTCCTTTGGCAGCTCCAGAATCGGAATTTTTTTTTTGACATAATCGAAAGTTCAAACTTACTTTTAAAAAATGCTCTAACAGTCTGCAAAAATAAAAGCTGGAACCAATTAGAAGATTAAGGAACAATGCAATCTGCAACATTAACTGAAATAGATAATTAGATAATTGTAGCTTAGCTTATACTGTCCGTTATACATTAAAAGCGAAAGCGTAAAGGTTTTATGCGCATGCGTGAACACATCGCATGCGCAAAAAGTTTGTAGCTTTGATGGTCCGGATTATAGATCATTCCGGATTATGGACATCCGGATTAAAGACTGTAATGGTATAATGCACATACATAATATCATTCAGAAGCCCATATCTGAAATTCTGTCACCATAAAATTCTGCAATTATGAGACTAAAACATGTTAACATAAGTGCATCCCATTTACTACTATATGTGTTTGACTAAACATTATAAACATGGTAGGTATATGAACCACACTGAAAGCTATACTATGTCTTTTAAGGATCTATTGCAGGGTTATCCAAAAAATACTGGAACAAAACATTTTTCTATTGCAAACTTTATACAATACTTTTCTGGAATTCATAACAGACAAGGATACTACTACTTTAAAAAAAATCAGCAATTCTATCAATAATTACTCATCATGCATAATTTTTGAAAATTAGTATATTCTTTTTAAATGTTTCTTAATCAAACTCACTTTCTTTACCTGAAGAGATTTTGGTTTGTACTCAATTTGTGATAAAAATTTTATATTCACATATCTTCCTTTGAGACAAAGGTATTCATTTGGATTATTTTTCATTATTTAGTTTTAACAATTCATCAACTCTTTCTTCTTACCAAAGCTGCAAAATTCTACTTTTGATTCCCCTACTCAATTATCTTTATATCTCTGTTATACAGTTAAAAGTCGTCAATCCGGACTCGTCGGGACTTCGGCGATTCCGGATTATCGATCATCAGTTTAAATCTGGTAAGATGGCATGCAGAATTACAAAATTAAAAATATGAAACCGTATTTAGAAATAAAGAACAATTATGATCTAAAGGGTATCAAAATTTACAAAAAGAAAAATTAATATTTATTTGTTTACTTTATTAAACTTTCTTTCAATGTAAGTTGTTTAGTTCTTCATTTCATGTGATAATACTTTCTCTTTAATTCTATTAAACAGACATAATTTTTTTTTAGTTACAAAGTTCCGCTGTTCAAGTCCTATAATTGCTGTGTTCGAGAATACCGACTAATTTGTCAATCGAAATTTTTTCGTTTTCAATAACCTCTGTTACTTTCTCCACTATCCGAAGCGAGTTATAATGACAAGGAACTTGTTTTAAATCATATCAAAGACGGAGTACATCGAGATGAAATACTACATTTGATAAGGAATTAAAAGCCAAATAAAATAAAAACATCTGCCCTGAAGATAAGGATAGTGCTGACAGATCAACTTCCAATTCATTGCGCGCCGCGGCGTTTCCCCCCGCCGAGCAGCGTGAAATTGATAAACAGATTTCAGATTTTGAAACATACTTTTGCTTTAGATCCTTTACATATTAACAAATATATATTGGAAATTCTATTTGATATAATCGAAAATTTAAGCTTACTTTTATAAAATTGCTCTAACAGTCTGCAAAAAATAGTAAGCTGGATCCAATTCGAAGATTAAGGAACAACCCAATCTGCAACATTAACTGAATTAGATAATTTGAGCTTAGCTTACACTGTCCATTATACATTAAACGCGCATGCGTAAACGTTTTATGAGCATGCGCACAAGCATATTCGCAGCCGTAAAGGTCTTAAGCGCGCACGTAAATGCCTATGCTTCAACGCGACGCATGTGCAGAAAGTTTGTAGCTTTGAGGTCCGGATTATGGGTGTCCGAATTAATGACTTTTGACTGTATTATCATTATATGTGTTATGATCGCACTTTTGATGCATGTCATTAGCAGATCCTTTTCAAACTTTTTAAGTTTTAATGTTACATTATGCTACCATTACCATGTTATTTGTCTTCCATATAACCTGAGAAATAAAATTTTTAATTGTATCTTTTACAAGCAATGGCAAACAGCCAATTTCAGCAGAGATAGAACGGATTCAACCATCCGTTCTATCTCTGCTGTTAAATCTCAGGACTCAAAATTACTCACTTCAATTAGGAAATTAAAATTTTCACAGCAGACAGAAAATGTGCAACAATATACTTTCCTAATACCTTTTTAAACTGGTAACCATCTTGAATCTGTTATATTGAAATATTTAGTTCTTTACTCTTTCTTGATTATCCAAAAAAACAAAATATTGATTTGATTTACAGTTTCTGGCATATGAAGCCTTATATCATGATATTTTCACACCTTTAAAAATCTGGCAGCCAACATTGGATTTGCAATTTTTCAATATCTTAGTAGCAAAGTTATGAATCAATTTCAATGTTCTGTATATGAATCATAATTTTTTCTGAAGTTTAAAAATATGATAGTTACCTTGCAGTTTACAGTTTTTCAATATATCAAGAATGAAACTGATCTGAAGCTGTTTTTTAGTTCATAAAGAACTAATTACATTTAATTTTTTTAATTGCATATTTTTATACTTTAGCTAATATTTATGTTTACAACTAATGGCAGAAAGAGATTATTCTTTATTACCTTAAAAGTTATCATTGAATAACATGAATACTTAAAAGTTATCATGTTGAATGCACAATAAAAATGCTCTGCTTTTGTACAATTTTATAGTCTCACATACACTTTAACTGAATGTACAACTTTCATAATCGATTAATTTAATTTTGGCTTATCTTTATTTATGCAGTATTTACAGAAAAAACCTGCAGTTATTCCAGCAGAAATTTCCCTACGGATAATTTTGAATACTTTACTTACTCTGTCTCCTGTATAAACAAATTTACGTAACTAAGTGGAACTGGTAATTTGCAGCAGATTCTTTTCCAATTGGAGCCCATGAATATCTGTTTCTTACCATGGGGGGGGAATCAGGCATTCAACTACAATGCAAGCAGCTCTTGCATTTAATAAGAAAGGTTTCCTTCCACTTTCATCCAGATTGTTAATAAGCCAATAAGATATAATGTTTATTTTGCATTCTTTTAAAGACTTAAGTAGCAAAACGGCTTCCATCATATTTGAAATTGAATCACTCAGTTCTCTTCTTTTCCTTGGCATTCTAATTACGCAAGATAAATTTGATTTTAGCAATGTTACTTATATTATAAACATTTTCTTTTTTTCTTCTGCATGTCAAATCTTGTCATTTTGCTAAACAAAAAATGTTTTCATTTTATTCTTACCATTATTACACTATGTAGATTTGTTCATCATGAAGCCTTTAAAAATCCTCCTCTTGCCATATTAAGAGACATTTTCCAATTAAAAGAATCATAACATTCTTGCTATCACCCCTTTTCTTTTTCACTCGGTGGTAAAATTGCTCAGATTATTTGCAAGTTCAACTTTCATGTAATTTTCTCACTTAATGAATTACATTTGTTGATTGGACTTACAGTGCAAAACTTTTGCTTCTAGACGAAGAGGGACCCATGCCAGTAACTTTTAGATGAACAGTTTTTTAGATAATATTTATACAGATATAAAAAAAGGGGTTTCTTCCTTCCTCCTTAAACTTTATATTTTGATACCATGTGTTTCTTTCATGTAATTAGAATGTCTGTAACCATCAAGAAGTCAAATAACATAATTTATAATAATAATAATTTCAAACAGTATTATATCAATAGTTTACCTTCTACGAATAGCAGCATCTAATACCCATGGTATATTCGTAGCTCCTAAAACAAGTATTCCATCATTATCTGTACCCACACCTAAGAGAATGGGGGGGGGGAAACTTTTATCAATCAACAACTTATATCTATTAAGTAATAAAAAAAGTATTTAAAGGCAACAGGAAATAATTTTGTATTGTGGGCTAAATAGAGGTGAAAATGAATCATTCTGCTCTCTTGTAGTACTTAAAAATCTAAACATACACTGAATATCAGTTTAAAGAAATAAATACTCCTTAAATGAAAGACAGAGAACTTTTTAAGAATTATGTTATTTTTTCTTAAGAAACTGTCTAATTCAGACTGTTTAATTCTGTAGAATACTATAAATTACTTGACTCGCAGTTTATTTATATTAAAATATACAGCTCCACATTACAAATTTTAGTTTCAAATTCAATATAAAATCATTAATATTGTAACTCATTAAATCCTATTACATGGGAATCGCAAAAGCAACAAACCATTGCATTATCAAGTACTAAGGCAGAGTACATCAATCTTCCAGAGAGTGTTAAGGAAGCAGTTTACTTACATCATTTCCTCAAAGGATTAAATTTTAATGCTGAATAACCAACTATTATACACTGGTTATCATAAATTAAGAAAAATCACAAAAATAGCGATAACTCCCTCAAAAATAAGGCAAACCGTGTAAAATTTGAATATGTTGCCAAGTAAGAGTAGCTGAGTAAAACTGTGATATGCAAATTAGTGGTGCTGCTTTCGGAATACACCATCTGTGAGGAGCATAAAAGTCCATGTTTGAGAGCAAGCCCACATATTTCACTGTGACAGTGACATCAGAAATCCAAGATAGCCAATTCGTAACAATGACCTCCAGGCATCATTTGGCTGCAGAACTACGATGGAAAAACATTGGGAGACTAGAGGCAGGATAAAGTCAAACAGAAGTGGCCAGATGGCTAAATGTGAGTCCCCACTACTCCGACTCTTCTTAGATTCTCCCTTGCTGCAGCACCGGAAGTTTGGCATCAACTGTGCAACTGTCGCATACAGACCACCTTCACGAAGGTGGTCTGTATGCAAGAGACGCCATTTGCGTGCCGCTCACGTCACGCCATAGGGAGGGACCGTTTTTCAGTGGGCACGACAACATGTCCCTGGACGCCTTGATCTGTGGAGGGCTTGTTCTCTTTACGGATGAAAATTAAAATATAGGCATTTATTAAATTAAATTATAATTCATCAGGTTTAGTCTAGAAAGCGATAGTAGGCGTTATTTGACATGGAGAGAACCTGGAACCCGTTACCATCTGTCAAACATGAGACAGATGGTGCATATGGAAGAGGCAGTTTTGGGGTGGCATTTCTTTGGATGGACGCACAGACCTCCATGTCTTTCCAACGGAAACCGTGAATGCTCCGGTTTATAGAGATGACATCCTTGATGCTTATGTGCGCCCATGTACCGGAGCAATAGTGATGCTTTCCTGTTACAGGACGATAACACGAGACCACACAGGGCTCGCATCATAGATGATTATCTTCAACAGGAAACAATTATGTGCATGGAGTGGGCAGCTCGATCCCCGGACTTTAATCCTATCGAGCACATCTGGGATGCTTTAAAGAGACGTCTAGCTGCTCTCAATCTGCACCCTTAGACCCTTGCCGCATATGCAACTGCTTTGCAAGAGCAATGGCTCTCGCTTCCTATGAAACTGATAGACCGCATAATTGAAAGCATCACGCATCGACATATGTGCTGTATTGCTTCGAGAGGTGACCATATTCCATATTGAAGGCACTTTTCCTATAGCAAACTGACACCTTCGATTTGTTCATTTTATACATGTGCTAATTTCTATACTACTATAATTGTCTGGTAATTTATTTTTATGTTATTTGATACCTTACTATATGTTGTATATTGTGGGTAAGTTTCATAAAATTCTACATGTAACTTTTTCAGTAATCGTGATTTTTCCTTAATTTATGATAACCAGTGTATTTTATGATAATCAAAGTGCACAGGAACTTATAAAAACTCAGTTTACCACATACTGAGCATATAGGCATTAGACATCACCTCATACACGAGATTTATGAGACAAATGAAACAGATATTAAATATAAGCCAATGGAAAAAATTCCCGCTAATATAATGACAAAAACACTGACTGCTCCGAAATATTCCAAGTGCTATAAATTAATTGGAATTGTTGTAAATAATCATAATGTTTTAATTCTTCATCATAATGTTTATTTTTTATGTTTTTCTTAAAGTTTTTTTTTTTTTTTTTTTTTTTTTTTTTAGCCGCCAAACATTAAAAGGGAGACTGTTGGATTATAATATCTGGTGTTTAGCTTATAGCTTGGCTTCTCCTGATGTATGCGTAGCTCACCCTTATTGAGGTGTGCTGAGATGATGCAATCTTTCTCCTGCTCTATATGCGTATATGTATATGGTATGCTATGTTTCGTTTCATTTCCTGTGCCTATGCTGTCAATGTAAATATATCTAATTAAAATGTTAATTAATGCTATAATATGTCTGAGCCCATTTTTCTTCATATACAAAAAATTATTTGCATTTGCTGTTAAAATTAAAACCTTTCTCTCAAACAGTTTAGTTAAAACTAGAATATTAACAGAAAACTCACAGAAAATAGTTCTATTAATGAAATGACTTCAAGTCTAAAACTAATTAAGATTTTTAGTGCTTGTCTGGTATAACTCAGTGTTTAAATTCTAAAATCACAGCATCTTATCAAAGCTGTAAAAAGTTATTTCAACAATTAAATAATTTAAGCATATAGGATGAGCCAACCTATCAGTGTCTAAGTAAAAATAATAAAATATGCATCTTTTATTTTAACTTCTTGTAATTAAGGGCCAATTGAAAAATAAAAAAAGCATTAACCTTGCATCTGTACTAGGAATTCAGTTTTTATTCGTCTTGCAGACTCAGATTCATTGTCAGAACGAGAACTACATAATGAATCTATTTCATCAATAAAGATAATACTTGGTTTCTGTTGTCGTCCCATTTCAAACAGATTTTTAACTAATCTAAAAAGTAAACAAGAAATTTTCAGAGTTATTCTAAAAAAGTACAAATCAGAGTTAATTTTACATAATTAAACAGGCTAAATTTAGTTTAATATTCATGATTATAACCTACCTCAAAAGCTACATTAAAAAAATTCATTAAAATAAAGGGAAAATTTGATCAAAATAATAAATCATGAAATTTTAAAAAAAATGGCTTACCTTTTTAATGGAGAAAACTAAATTTTCAAATTGCTCTAATAATTTACTACACAGTCATTAAGAGTGAAATGTCCAGTCTTCGGAAGCATGAGTTTTAAAGGACATGATATCATGCCAAGTCTCTATATCTATCTTGGCTTGATAAGCTTGAATGCCTAGCTCACATTAGTGCTATATTTTGGCAGTTCTATACTATGATGCTACATTTGCATTCAACCTTTTGCAACTACATTTGCAACTTTTGCAACTACAATGCAACTACATTTGCATGCTTTTCAAAGTGACCTGCCTGACAGCACATTGTGTGAAATCATAGATATGTCAAAATTTTATGTTAGTTCCAAAAATGAGTTCTATAACTATACCAATGCAGTGCAGTCAATTGTAATATTGACAGAATGGTTGGCAATAATGTAGTTAATGAACCAACAGTGCATCTGTTAAGTTCTCACCATATGACATTGTTCTTGAAAATCACAAACTGAGTCCAAGTTGGATAATCGGGAGCTAAAAGCTGTTGTAGATTTGAAAAAAGAAAAAAACGAAAGTGGATTTTATCTCATTTAGAAACTGGATTCATCTCAAACTAAGCACAAACTACCATCAAGGTTTAAAAAAAATGATGAATAGATGCATTCTAAATTATAATTAAATAAGCAGCAAAAGGAGATTAATTTCAAAACCTGCCTTTCTTTGTTGTCATGACATAAAGGTGAAACCATTCCTACATCATGCCATTATATATGTTGAAAAATGAATTCTTTTCAAACACCATAAGCATTTGGTATAATGGCTAAATAAAGACAAAGTGCCAAAACACAGTTTAAAACAAAGACTGCACCTAAGTAACTTATGGTGCTTGTAGCATAAATGCCAGTATTAACCACTACAGCTTCACGAAACCCAGTGATCAAATGACTACAGGGAATGTCTACATCTATCAAATGGATGAAATAATCAAAATGCTTGCGAGAAAGCTTCTGAGACTGGTCCATCAGGCTAAGCTGATCTTTTGGCAGAATAACATTCATTTATCTACATATTGTTTGCCAAAAACATTCAAACTACAGAACCTGGATTTTAAGAGTTTTTGTCAACCACCATATTAACCAGACTTCCCACCAATAAACTATCATTTCTCGCAATGAAAAATTTTCAACTTTCATTAAATGGAAAACATGTTTCGTGATACCATTGCTCTCCAGGTTTCTTCATTGCTGTCACCAAGTTATGTTTACAATGGCAATATTGAATCAACAGCAGCAGTGCACACTGACTAACCACATTGCTTTTTTTTAAAGACATAACAGTATTATGTGCGTACGGGTTTGTAATGGACTGAATGTGCACAGAACAATGATAGCTTATAGTGTCAATGATAAAATTTATTTTCCCAAAGAAATACTTTACAGTTCTTGAACTTTCTCCAAAAGTACAGCTATTCTAAGTATGATAGAGCACAATCAGTAGATACCATTTCAAACTATTAGGAAAGTTAAATGCAACACAATGCAAAATGCAATTAAACAGTGAAGCCCACACAGATATCTCTCAACACTCCAAAGTCAACTCTGAACTAAACAAGTGGGAAATGATGCTCTCCCTAGTCTTATATAGTTTCTCTCTGGTCATCAAGAATTTTACAAAACATTCCATTTCTTGAAATTACTGGAAGGGATATAGGGTTAAAGTTACCATAGGGCCAGATATAGTTACAGTTGTATATAGGAATCAATTACATTGGAACAAAATGTTGCCAAATGGTCACCAAGACTGGCAACTTTTGGCAATTTCTTGCCAAATTTGGCAACAAAAATTAGTCGCCCAAACCATTGCCATCTTAGCGATATCTCACCAATTTAGTAAGATAGGTGTTTACCTCAATGGTAAATAGACCTACCCCTGTAACCTTATTTTCCTGGCACAGCTTTACTTTCTTCAGACTTTTCATGCTACATCATAAAAAATTCGTAACAGTTACTTCCAAATCAAACATTCTATACCAAATAATAACATTATATTCTGGTTCACTTGCTTATGTTCCTATATTCTGACTCGCTTGCTACATAATGTCTAAACAAGTCAATTCTATGGAATAGGTATTATAATAAAACAATGCAATAATATTGTATTTTAGACAAAATGAAAATTTTTAGTCAAGAAATAAAATAATTTTTAGACTTCAGTAAGCTATATATATAATTCTTTAAAGAATTTACAGCCCATGGAATAATGTTCTCACCAAAATTATATGGAAACAAATTAATAAAATCTATGTTTTTCTCTCATTTATAAAGCATGACAAAATAAAAAAACACAAACAATTATTTTCACCTAAAAACTTCTTTGGAGTAATGGGGATGGAGAAAAAGTGTTTCGAAAAAGATATAAATTCCATATTGTTTTTAATAAATAAGATAATTCAGAACACATTTAAAAATTACTTGTTCAAAACTGAAATGATTGGTAAAATAATCAATTTATTAACAATAAATACCCAATGTCTGGAAAACATTTTGCAAAATTTTAATTTCATTTATAATTTCATATCAAATCAACATGCCTTTCAAGTTTCATACCAGTCAACACACACAGAAGCAATACAATAAATTAATGTCAGACAATTAGAAAGAAAGTCATTTACAACAGATAAATTTTCAATAACAAAATGAATAAAAACCTGCCTTCTAATCTTTAAAGATACCAAATTTGCCTAAATGCCTAAATTACAATTCACTTTATTTTTACATATTTCAATTGAATGAAAATGATCCAGTTAAAGAAGACAATTTAGTGATTCATTTTGTATTATATTTTTATTGATAAGATGTATATGAATTACAAATTTTATGATTCAGAATTATTTATATTTTATTTTAAAGACTTTTCAAAAGGTATCTGAATTTATAACATGATAATTATAATGAAAAATACTCTCATTTTCATTGTTAAAATGTTGCTTTGATTTTAAAAAACCCAATAAAGAATCATTTTGTGGGAAATCGTTCTCAATCAAATCCTCAAATACAAAGCTTGGCTCAAATATTTTCCTCAAAAGTTTTGTAATCAATCTGCATGATAAACATATTTACACATTTCAAAGTACTTTTTAAAAGCAGCAGTTTACCAATACCGAAAAACACAAACTTTGAGAAATGGAATAGCAAAGTTTACCAGCACAAAGCACAAAAGACAACATTAAAGTAAAAATTTCAATAAAGCATCTTTGCATGTCAAAAAAGTTTAAGAAACATGATATATTTTACACAAGTTTCAAAGCTGAAGAGAAAAAAATTACTTTTCACTTTCGCCGAGCCATTTTGAAACTAGATGGGAAGAAGAAACTGAGAAAAATGTTGAATTGTTGGCTTCAGTAGCAACAGCCTTAGCAAGGAAAGATTTTCCTGTTCCAGGAGGCTAATAAAGAAAACTAATGATGTTAAAGAAAGAAATAGTTAAAATAAATATTCACTTAAAAATCCAGAAATCTAATTTAAACTGCAACACGCAATGACAAAGCAAGACATAGGCTTGCAGAATGCAGGATACAATGTAATGATCTGAGCAAATTATGTGACTTACACCAAACAACAAAATTCCCTTCCAAGGTTTTCTTTTGCCAGTAAACAAGTGTGGAAATTTAATTGGTAATATAACAGCTTCTTTCAGAGCTTCTTTAGCTCCTTCTAAACCAGCCACATCAGACCATTTTACATTGGGCTTCTCTATCACAATGGCTCCTACAAAAATAAATAAAAATGGTTCATTATATATAATTCTGATTAGTTGCTTGCTTCTCTATGGTAAAAAAAAAAAAAAAAAAAAACACCCCCAGATTATACTGTGCTAAACACATAGTAAATTTCAAATATTAAAATACTTTAAAAAATATATCTAAGTAAAAAAATTAAATACAAATAAAGCAATATATATGTAAATAATGATATATATACAGCTATGTACTTAAGTTAAAAAAATTACTATTATGAAAATGTTAAAATATGTTAAGACGTTCAAAGCAATGAAAAAATCAAAATTAAATAAATAAAAAGCCATAAAAACAAAGGGCACTTACAGCAGTTACTGCAGCAACAACAAAAATATTTCTATAAGTTAGAAAAAAAATCCGCATGGTAATAAATAAAAGAAAGGCAAATTACTGTATAAATAGATAATAGCATTAAAAAAAGAAAAAAATGATTTCAGTAGAGATTTCTTAAAAAAAAGGGGTGGGGGGGATTCTTAAAAAATTTTTGAACAGATTACTTTGGGTAAATGCAACTGGTTTATACATTAACAAAGAACAAAATCAGTTAAAAGTAGCTATTAAATTATCTATATACTAATATACAATCCAGAAAAAATATTAATGAAATTTTTTATAGTTAAATTTTTTTATGACTATTTGATAAAATTTGGCAATATTTTTAAATTTTGCAAAGCTGCTAAAACAGAACTATATCACTAAATACACATATATATTTTTTCAACCATCCATTTTTTAGCTAATTTTTTAAAACGCATGCATTTCTAAATGAGTAAAATCTTTTGCAATAATTTTACTTAAATACTGATCCAATTTATAATATTCTAACTAATGCAAATAACTTCCTTTCTTTAGCAAAACTTCTTCCTTAAATTTCCAACAAATCTGCAATCTATAATTTGAAATGAAATAATCCAGCTATTTATTAGTTATCGTAATTTCCGGAAGAAAGGCTGCATCAGCGTAAACGGCGCACTCGAGAAAAATGGCGGGAAAAAATTTTAAATTACACAGAAACGCCGCAATAGATTAAATTGCGCGTGACATTGTCGTGGGCCATATAGATGCAAAAAGTCAACCTAAGTCCTGATATATGACATACCATTTAAGAAAAATGCAGAAATGAAACCATAACTCAAAATAAATTAAAGGTAAGAAATGTGGAAAATATATTTACCTTCACGTATATACTTATATTTACCCACTAAGAAGTCCATATTTGTAATACTCAGACTATATTAAAAAAAATGTTGCAACAACGAAATATTAAATTTGATGACAAAAGGAAATTTTTAAATTTTACTTACAAATTACAGCAAACTACATCTCTATGAAGCCTTCAAAATCTGATTCTTCACTATCTGAATTAAAAAGATTTAGTAAATCCTGATCTAAGTCTTCCAGATCGTCGCATTCATCCTCTTGGTTTACAGTCTCTTTATCTACGGATATAATTTCAGCTTCTTTGAACCCTGCTATTATTGACGATGTTTCTACTGATTTCCATTCACTTCCTGCCCACTTTGCAATTTCTTCATAAGATGCTCTATGCATTTTACTGCTTTTGGTTTATGTATGCAATCCTTCACTCATCAACACTCCTCCACGATTTCGGACTTCAGCTTTGAAGGATTATTACCTGACAAATCTAATGGTTTGTAAGATTTTTGTCAAACCACCAGGAATTATTGCTTCGGTCGTAGACAATTTTTGACATCTGGTTTTCACTGACTCAAAGAAATGAGCACGCATGGAATCCATTATCAAATAACCCTTTGGTTGGAAAAAAGATCCCTACGACACTGCCAAACTTTTTGTAGCCACTCTGATTGTTTTCGCACATCTAGCCGTTCTCGTTTGGACAATAATTATGTCATTAGGAAAATTTCCCTTCGGAATAGTCTTTCGTTTAAAAATGACCATCGGCTTTAGCTTGTCACCATTTGTGACACAAGCTAACACACATGTAAATGACATTCTTTTATGCCCCGTCGTAAGCACAGATACAGTTTTTGCACCAGGTTTATCAACAGGTCTGTTTGCAGGAGAATACGAAATCTAACAGCGTTTCATCCATATTTACTATCTGTGACCAAAGAAGTTTTTTTTTTTTTCCCCAATAATATCTATTACATATTTTAGAAAAGATGACTTTTTATCCTGCCAGTCCATTGGTAATTGTTGCCCGACTGTTGTTTTAGCACGCACAGAAATATTTTTCTTTTCATAAATCTGCTACACCTCCTTTGAAATCATTTATGTTCATTCGTTTCGCTATAAATTTTGCTTGTAAGCGAATTTTTACAGTCGAAATTGCCATTCCCTTTCCTACTAGCTCCTTAATCCAGTTAGCAAGGTCATCCTCTAAATTTGGCCACCTTACAGTACCACTTCTTTTGGCTCGTTTCTGTTGTGGCATATTTTTAAGAAGTTCTTTTTCAGTTCTCCAATGTCGAATACATCTGTCGTCCACTTCAAACTCTCGATCTGCTGCTCGATTTCCAATTTGTTCAGCACGTGAAATTACATTAAGCTTAAAACTAGCAGTATAGCTTCTGTGCTGTTAAGGGACATTTTCAAAAAATTTCCGCTCCCTTCTTACTTAAAAACTATCCAACATACTTGTACCCAAACTGATGGGTCTGTATCTGGCAGAATGCCAAGAAAATCCCTTCAGCTGAAAGGGAAATACGTTCAGAGTTTCGTTATGCGAGGTGCGAGGCATAAATCTTATTGTCGACAGTTGCGAGGCAGGTGGAGTTTTCAAAGGGCGCCTTTAAAATTGCAGAAAAGGCATGGGTGGGAGATGATGGGCCCTGGAAGATTCATCGAATGGCAGATGAGAGAGACTATTCAAACTGATGAGAATGTTGTTTGAAAGGGGGGAGAATGTATTGTTCTGAGATCTCGTTAGGTGAAATAGGCATGTAGGTCTGTTCAAGGGAAAGAATGTAAACAAAATAATGTTCGCAAAAAGCAACTGAGTGGTCTTTTGTATGAAAACAGCACCAGTCTATGCACAATGACAAGGCCATCCAAACTCTGTACAATGACTATCATAGAAAATATTTTATTTTTAGTGCACCTAAACACCGCACCTGCTGAAAATTTAAGTTTTAAACAGGTAAACACCGCGGCGTTTCTTCCGGAAACTACGGTACTTATATATGTTTGCATAAAAGCAAATTGTTCAGCAATCTATTTGCATTTGGTAAACATGCTTCAATTTTTTATCATTTTATCCTTATTTAATGGTTTCAAATAAGAAAAACTTCAATCAAATGTTTGAATTAACACTGAAGAGACAAAACATTATGACTACCTACACAATATTCTGTTGTGCAATCTTTTGCCAGCAAAACAGCTGCAACTCGCCTTGGCATGGATGTCACAAGTTCTTGGAGATGACTGAAGACAGATTGTACCAAATGTCTAAACAGCAGTCAATGCAAAGTCAAGATATTCTGACATGGTGGTGTTTGAGCTCAGCTACCACTCCATGACATTCCAAATGTGCTCTACTGGGTTAAGATCTGGCAAGTTAGATGGCCAGGACATTAATTGGAATTCATCATTATGCTCCTCAAACCACTCCAACGCAATTCGAGTCCTGTGACATAGGGCATTGTCTTGTTGCAAGACTCCATTTATAGTTGGGAAAACAGATGCTATGAGTGATCTGCAGTTATATTCAGAGAGTCTGCAGCTGTCATGGTCTGTTCTACGACAAATAACAGTCCCATGGCACCCACGAGAATAACCCCCAAAGTATAATACTGCCTCAACCAAACTGTGTATGACCTGCTGTACAGGGTAGGAGCAACTGAATTTAGAAGATGGTGTATCCTGACACGACTACTGATGTGAAGAACGAGAAATCATGATTCATCTGGCCAAGCAATTGCCTTCCACTTATCCATGGTCCAGTCTCAATTTTACTGGAACCACTCAGGGCCGGATTCAGATTTGATGAGGCCCTAAGCTATTTGAGATGTGGGGCCCTTTATAAGTCTTTTAAACTATATTTTAATACTATATTTATCTTTATATACCTTTAAATATATTAATATAATTTATTTTATATACCTTTTAATTGTTTGGGGCCCTAAGCTATAACTTGTGTAGCTTATACGTTAATTCTGTGCTGAGCCCATTGCAGGTGTAGTTGACAATGACACTTGGTCAAAAGAAGCACATTGGTGGGATGTCTGCTACACAGTCCCATATCCAATGGTGTCCACCAAACTGTGTTTTCCAAAACACTTGCATTGTATTGATTGGACTGTCAGCTCAGCTACTGTCTGGGTTGAATTTGCTGTTCTAAGCGGGACTGACTTCCTTTCTCTTTGACGGCATACGGACGCCCAACACCTTGGCGCAAACTGCTAGTTTCACTGTCATTTATCCACTTTGCATAAACTAACACAACAGACCGTGAACAACCTACCGGTTGTGTAATTTTGGATATACACTCTTTTGAAAAAAAAAAATCGAAACACCAAGAAGGACTTTTGCGATTGTGAAGAAATTTGGTATGCAAAAACATCTTGATCGAACATGCAAATGCTCAAACTTTGAATTGCGATTACAGTGCTAATTTCTAGTGTCTTAGAAAGTCCTCCACGAAAGCATTCCCTCCCTTAAGGCAGATAGCTTTCGAGTGCTTTGCCGCAATATAATAAAACCAAACCGAACCAAGCTCACTTCTAGTGCGCAATTCGCAAAGTATAAAACCAGTAACAGAGGCGGGAAAATTTATCTTTTTTTGTTGCTGCCATTATAATTCTGTAAAGAAGCAACTAAAGATGCCATTACAACAATATCAAAGACATTACAGACAATTAAACAACTTGGAACATGGTCGCACTGTAGGGTTGCATGAATCTGGGTGGTTATATACCGAGCAATAAGCCGCCACCTGCAGTGTACAGACACTGTTATGCAAAGATGTTGGCAACAATAGTTACTACAAGGAAAATTGGCGACGAAATGAAGGCTCTGGAAGGCCAAGGAGTACAAATGCAAGGCAAGATAAGATGATTGTTCGCCAGGCTCGAACCAGCCCAATGGTATCCCTGTCGACTATTCAACACACTACAGCCACGTCTATACCTCCCGTGGTACTGTTCATTATTTCATGGTGCTTGTCTGAGGTGGGGTTACATTCACAGAGGCCTTTAAGACGTTTGCCTTTGACCCCACAACATCGGCGGAGTCATCTGGAGTAGTGTCGCATCTGATCATCATAGCTGCCATAAGACTGATATTGTATAGTGTTCGGTGATGAATCCCAGCTTCACTTGAAGCAGATGACCACTGTGTTCGTGTCTGGAGTGGACGGTGCCAGCAGATTTGTTTTACAAAGGCATACAGCCATAACCCCTGGTGTGTTCGTGTGGGGCACTATTTCTTATGGCAGCAGGTCATCTTTAGTCATCCTCCGTACATCTTTAACAGCTCAATGATATGTTGATACCGTCCTGCGGCCGGTTGCATTACCCTTCATGGTACGTGATCCTGGGGCCATTTTTCATCAAGATAATACCAGGCCACATACCACTCTGGTCTATCTTCGTGCGGTTGATACTCTTCCTTGGCCAGCAAGGTCACCAGACCTTTCACCATCGAGCATGTCTGGGACACAGTGGCCGCCAGATTCAGGCACCGCAAAATATCACAGATCTGGAGCAACAACTGATAAATGCCTGGCAGAATGCATCGCAGGATGGCATTAGGAACCTTTACCACTTCTTGCCTTGATGAATTCAAGCATGCATTGCTGCCATGGGCGGTTCGACCAACTACTAATTTGAATACTCAATGGGTGATAGTGAGCCGTGGACAGATACTATGACCTTGATTTTTTTAATCATTTTATTATCTGTGTATGAGCTATACACATGTTTAATTTCATAAAAAACAACCACATCCTTCATGGTGCTTTGATTTTTCTGCAAAAGAGTGTACTTGTTCCTAACATTTAGGCCATTACAATCTGTCCTCAGCTGAATTTGCTTAGATCAGCAGCCTTTTCCATCACTTGCAAAAGTAAGTGCAAAAATGACTCGTTACTTTCTCCAGCCAGCAGTTAAATACCATTCCCACTTTATCACATGCACTCCACGTCATCCAGACAAATTCATTGAAAAATGTGGGAACGGTCATAATGTTTTGGCTTGTTACAGTATTTTCAGTTTTTAAATGCATAATATTCACTATTTTTACTTCAGTTGTTAATCTTATTTAAGGCAATGAGGACAAGAATTCTGTTTCTGTGATTAAAACAAAGAATAGGTAAAATGTCATCAGTAATATATCTATACACATGCTGAAATAATTCAGTGTTGGATAATTTAGTTTAGAAATGTATTTTGTGCACAGAAAAAGATTACTGAATAGAAGAATAGTAATTAGTTCTCATAGGGATATCATCAAAATGAAGAAAACACCTTCTACTAAAATGTATTGAGTAGTTATATAACATGCAACAATTACATGCAATCTATCTGTTAAAAACTAAAATTTTATTAAGTGTAAGGAGAAATATACTAAACTGACAGATATAATCAAGAGAGCCAGGAAATTTTTTTAAATGAAAAATAATTCACATAATAATATAATATTAGCAGAAATATCATTATAAAACATTTTCTTATATTAATAACAGAAGTTTTCAATCATCGACAGGAACAATTATTATTTTTTGTTCATTAAGCATTCTCATATAATAGCATTGTGGGCACTTTCATGAGAGTAAATAAAACAGACTGAGATAAAATCAAGTAGAATGGGTACATTGAACATATTGATGGTGCACATTTGGTTTCAGGCTGCTACACTGACCTATAAGAATTCATCCCTGTGAAAATTACTTATGTGATTTTAACCTCAGTATCAGGACATTCAAACACTACGAAGCAACAGCACACCAGAGCATTGAAATAAATGAAATCCTGAAAAGTGCGGTAATTTTTTTAAATACTTGAAAAGTGATGCCAAGAATATTAGATTTTTTAGTAAAATACATCAAGATGTAACAAATACACACGATTCTTGTATTTTTAAGCAGCATTCAATGACTTCCCTAAAGAAAAAGGTAAAATTTTGGCCCTCAGAAAGAAAAGAAAAACAATGAAAGAAGAGATAATTGAGAATAGTTTCTTTAGTATCGATACAAAATTCAATAGTGCTAATTCAGAATACTTTCATTCATTCTTTGTATGTTGGTACTGAAGAAGAGAGGAACTGACAATATTTTAACCAAGCTCTTAACTAAAAATGATGACAATGTCAAAATTCTGGGATTAATTAAAACAGGAATTTCCAAGAGCTAGAACCAAGCCTATTAATTCCTTGCAGCTCCCTATCTATGTGAGATAATTTGGCTTAGTTACCCTACACAAACAATAGATCAAACTTTGATATGGACAAAGAAATAACAGAAGCAAGTATAAAACTGGTGCAAAGACTTGGCAAGCTACAATATGGAAACCTATGTTTCACAATAATAACATTACGAATTTTGTACACAGCTAGATGATTTTAGTGCAAATATAAGCAAAATTGTTGTATTTTTCTGTGTATAACATGAAAAATCTAAAGAGATGAGCTATGCCAGAAAAATAAGAATACACGGGCAGGTCCATTTAACACTGAGTAAATGGGTATCTTGGAAATTTGGAGATATACTGCTAAGCTGGCAACGGTTTAGACGACTAATTTCTGTCACCTAATTCGGCGTAAAATCACCATTAGTGGCCAAACTTAGTGACATTTTGGTCCAGTCCTGTATCACCTTAACAGGTATTGTAATTGATCACTATACAGCTGTAATCGTAATTCGACCCTCATATTGCCTTCTAGTAATTATGAGAGGCAGAAAGTGCAAGAAATATCTCGGCAGCCGACTGAAAATTATATAAGGCCAGAGACAGCATCTGCTCTCAGTTGTTGTTGTTAGCTGTTAGCTTCACATAAGTCCTGAGCATATCTCCGATTTAGCTTCATCTTTTTAGCTGCACCTTGCATTGTGTTTAACGTTTTTAGTAGTTTGAAATATCACTGCTAACTGTACTGCCATACTGTAAAGATTTATATGAGTATTTTTGTAAAAAATTCTAGAACTCTAAGGTGTTCCTTTTGATAAAATAAATTTCAACAACCTATCACTGGACCTGTGTACATTCTATCTATTATGAACTTGTAGGCACATAGCACTTTTTGTGTCAGGAGTGGGGTTGAATGCCTGTGACAAGAGCAGTGAAGGAGAAGACAGCTGGTGACTGCCTTTGCAGCATCCAAAAAAAAGATAGAAGAGGTCGTTAAAGAAAAGATGAAAGAACATATGAAGGTAAGTCAAGAAAAGATTGAAGGAGGTCAAGAGAAAATGAAATAAGAAATTACTACCATAATAGAAAGCAATGTATTACAAAGCCATACGCATGCAATAAAAATGCAAGAATTTATTTTATTTTTTATTGAATATATTTTTGAAGATTATGTAACCATTAAAATATATCCATGTAAAAATGCAGTTTAATTAAAAGGCAAGCTATTCTCCTGAGCTGATTTTTGTATGGAATAGGACGTTTTAAAGTGCACTTTGTATATTCTCTTGTACATCAGTATAATTTTTCCTGATTTATCAATTGCATTTATATTACTTATTTTTTATTTTGCTTCTAATTTAAGGAAACAATGCAATGAAATAATTCATAACTGTTACAAGCCTCTAAATAAAATGCATGTTCTCACGTATGCCACAAAGAAGCTGTGAGAAGAATCTAGTTGGTCAAAGAAGACATAAAGTCACAAAAGTTGAAAACTGTGTATAATTCATATAAAAAAAATTTTAATTCTGAAGCATTTTAATTCACTTTGTACCTAACTAATTAAAATTTACATACCCTCTAGTTGATTCAAAAGCTTTTTCTTATCTGGATCTTCATCACTATCACTATTATTGTTGTCATCATTTTCTTTTTTGCTATAAGAAAAACACGATGTATTAAAAAAATTTCCCTACATATATTTACATAATAAATAACCCAAAAAATCATTTGTTTTAATTATCACTAAAATCAATACTCGGGTAACCTTTTTAATCAATCCAACAGATTTTATCTGCATGTACTGTCTTTTTTCATACGACAGTTAATGATATAAATGCAAGCTAACATTAAAAAGCAATTTTGTAAATACATATGATACTGCTTAATAATGTTAATAAAGCATTAACTTTTCATTTGGCAGATGGTAAATAAACATGTAAACTAAAAATATGGAAATAAATAAACACTTTTATGAAATAAAGACACTAGGCTTTTAAAAAAATCTAATAACAATTGGCATGCATAATCGACAAAATTGGAAATAAATCAATTAAAATTTTTATCCTTAAAATACATTAACTGGAGATAATGCAAATAAAAATGTATGAAAAATTAATACAGAAAAGAAAGTAAAGTGAATAATAGTATTAATTCTGCTTTATTTCCAGTTAAATGGAACATATTCTAACAACAAATCTTAAAATGATACTGATTCATCACTTAGTTGTGATAATATACACCAGAAGTTCTCAAAATGCTCATGCACTCCTTTCACCCCTGCTAGAAGATTTTCTACCTTCTTTTCCAAACTTGAAAAACACATAAAAATTAATTTAAATTTATATTATTTTTTAATTTGTTTTATAAATTAAACAATAAAAGGTACAGGAAATGTTGATAAATCTCAAAATCTGAATAAAAGTATTATTTTATAAACTAAAACTAAACAAATAAAAGGCTGACTGCATCCCCCCTGAAGCTAGGAAATTCTCTTCTAAATGAGGTTCCCTTCCAGTGGTTGAGAGCCTCTGGTATACACCATTTACACAAAACACATAACAAACCAATAAAAATGGCCTTCATTAAAATTTTTATACTTTCTGATATTTTCAATCCTTCCCAGTGGCATAGCAATGCCTCGGACGCCGCTCTCAGAGGGGCGCCAAATGGTCTTCAAACAATATTTTCCGGAAAATTTCAGTTTTTATTTTTATTGATTTCTGGAAAATATATTTAAAATTAATAATTATTGTAATCTAATTAATTATTTATTTTCTGGATTTGTCTGATAAAATGTGTAATAAAATGTTTGCAGTACATCAACCAAATATCTCCATATACAAAATGTTCTTCTGCTGACCACTTTATTTCTCTAAAAATATATATATATATATATATATATATATATTAATGTAACGCACGTATAGCTTCTGCTTTTTGTTTTAATACCATAACACGACCATGTTCAGAATGTCTCAAACATATCCAGTTTCCAAAAACCAATTCCATAGTCTGAAAATGACATTTTGGTAAACTAATGCTTCTGCTAGAATGGATTGTGTTTGACTCTCCTGTAAATGACTGATGGCCTTCCTGGCTACCGATTCAACTAAGTCATCTTGTTGAGACATCGTATACTCACTGCTCCAAAGCAATCAAAGTGTGTCAATTGTTTTTAATCTTCTTCTACAAAAGGAATACTGCAGGTTGGTCCTTACTCCTTATCTAAAACGCCGTTTTCATCGACACAGACGAAATTTGCATATTCCCAACTTCGTAAAAGTTATAATTTTCCTTTATAATCTGTTTAAATCTCTTCTATTTCCTTTTGTTAAAAAGGTTGTCGATTATATGGTTATTTCATACCGAACTCACAATATCCCCTAATTGTTTTGAGCAGTGAATGTGACAGCAAAATGTTACTCCGCAGTAGAAAAGAAATTGAATCTGTAACTCTATTACAGATCTATGGAGAAAATGTTTTTCCAAACCTAAGAGACGCATTTCAAATATTCCTTACTATTTCCTTATCAAATTCTATCTATGAAAATATGTTCAGAAAATTAAAATAAATTTTGACATGTTTATAATCAACAATGGGAAAAGACCCCCTAAGTCATCTAGCATTTTTAAATATGGAAAGAGAAAAATTTGAAATGATCGACTATGACGAAGTAATTGATAAATTTGCTTTATCCAATGGCAAAAAAAAAAAAAAAAAAAAAAAAAAAAAAAATGTATACATAGTGTTGGTGTCAGGATTTTTCTCTTACATCCACTATGCATATCTTTTTGATTTTGCATTATTATTTAACAGGACAGATATTCACAACCATCATCATTATAATAATTTATTCAACTATTCTTTTTAAAAAGTGCATGGGTAATTAATACCTTATGCCGCCGTGTTTACATTTATTATCTCTCATTTTTTTTAATTACAAATGCTTTGAATATCTTTTAATAAGATGCCATCTGGCAGTAGACTTTGGAAATTGCTAACATTAGGGCATCCTGATTAAACAATTGCCCTCAATTGTCGCTTTTTTTCTTTTAACAAACATTGACGACAATACCACAAGAATCCACATTTTGTGCACAGTATAATCATAATTTAAAGTTCTAGAGGAGTAAAAAGTTCTATAACAAAAGTTCTAAAAAAAGTTCTTAATGAAATTTTTCCAGTAAAGTTCTTTGTAGGTTTGGGACAAGGGGAAAAAAAATAAAAGTCTGCATTACCTGTAGCTTCACGAGTTAATATACGAGTTAACTGGTTCCTCTTCATTCAACTCATCTAGGTTATTAGCATGCCAAGACTTCAGCTGACTCACATGTGGGTTCACAGTCTAACATGTTCTTTTTTTTTTTTTTTTTTCCCCTTCTTATAGTAGTACTTCTTCATCTTATTTGCCATCCGCTCTTTCACTTCTTTCAGCATTAATGAGGTAAAAATTTTCAGTACTCTTTCTTTACTCTCACTAATCTCAGCTTGAGTAATATGACTTCTCCTTGGCATTTGATGTTCTATTTCTCGGTGCGTAGTTTCCGAATAAGATGACATTTGCAGGGTCTTACCTTCACTTATCGTTTAGGCTGAATACACAAATTCTTCTGGCTGCCTAATTCTTCTTTCACTTGCAAATTCCTCAGATTTCCTTTCTGGTAATTTTCTTTCATCCATAGAGTTTAAACCTGCTTTATCAGAAGACCTTTTTTCGTATTTGAATCATTTTTGCACATCCCATACAAACGGTAGCCTCTCCTTGTTACAAAATTTCTCTCAAGAATATAAGACACATCACTTTCAACTTGGTCATTTCGGTTTGGAAATCGCTTTCGCTTTATAGTTGGAATTTTTCTATACAAGGGTTTTTGTTGGTTTGCTTCTAACATGAAAATGATCATCGTATTTCGCATTCCAATCCTACGTCTTATCACCATTGCAGAGGTGCTTGTTTTTGTTACATTTGCTTTGAAAATAATTTTGATTAGCATAATCAACTTCGTAGTTTGTCACATTTCCCATTTTTGAATTTCTAATTGTGCTTGTTTTTCTAATCTTTCATCCTCTTCTTTCTTAAGTCTTTCCTCGATAAATCTTTCAAAGTCTTGTTTTACAAATAGTTCGTCATAAATTTTACAATTAGTGATGATGTTTTTAATTGTAATTACAATGGCGTCTGGTGGAACCATTTCACCAATTTCCATCACAAATTCAATTAGATCGCATTTGCGTCCCTTTCCAAGAAAAGACACCTTTTTATATATGTTTAATCCTTTAATACTTATTATTGATACATTCAATAGCTTTCAAAAATATGTTTAATAATTTCATTAATACGTTTGATAACTTTATAACAGAGTAAAAAACAAAACGTTTACCTTTTTTTTTTTTTTCATTGACCTTCAATAGCATTCAGTCACAATAGATCGACATCGACATCGGCAATCCCACTTCTGAAATTGTTGGTATCAGGATTTTTCTCTTACATCCACTACGTGTATCTTTTTGATTTTGCGTTATTATTTAACAGGACAGAAATTCACAACCAAAATCATTATAATACTTTATTCTACTATTTTTTTTTAAAGTGCATGAGTAATTAACAGGGGTGTTTGTGGGACCCCAAAAAATCCCCTGAAACTTTTACGGACTTACTACCGACATTTTGGAGTTTCGAGAAGGGGGGGGGGAAGAAATGAAAAATTACAATTATGAGGTATTGAATGACCTAATTATAAAAGTTCAATGAATTACTTTTTTTGCAAAATTAATAACCATAAATTTTCAAACATATAAACTACTGCATTTTATGTAAGTATTTTAAATTATCTGAATTAATTCTTTAAAAAAAAATTATCTAGTTTCTGCTGCTTTTTTTTATTTTCTGATGTTTGTGGGCTTGTCTTTCTTTTGTGGTGAACTTCATAATTGCAGGAAGGTTGACTTTTATTTTCCTCATTTACAGTTGAAGAAATTTCCTCGTGAACTGCACATGCAGAGGTAGAAGCAGTTTGCTTTTCTGCTAATGTAGAAGGTTTTTCAGAGACTTTTATAGGTGATTCATCTGAAATACATGTTTTTAAGTCCTCTTGATATGTTTTCCAACTTCTGTTCATATTCAGTAAGAGATCTTTGTGAACTGGATCAGTCATTGGATTTTTTTAGCCATATTTTTCACATGAGGTTTCTTTAGAAGCCATTAAATCATATTTAATAGGCTGCACTGCATCTAGGGAATCAATCTTAAGAGAGGTTCTATAGTCAGTGACAAGTGTATCCGTTAAGTTGAATGCACTTTCCACTAATGGGCCATGGAAGCAGCTAAGGCAGGATTTGACCAATTTAGCCAATGTAGGATACTTATAATCTTTTGTGAAATTATTTTTTAAATTAAAAACTTTAGACCAATATTTATCAATTGTACACTTGACTTGATTTCCACTTTCATCAGATGTGTAGAGCATTCTTTGGTGATATCAATATCACTCTGGTATAACCTTATTTCAGCTTCTACTTTTGACTTTTCATTATCACTAAAAATATGGGACATAAAAGATGATAATTTTTTCAAAAGCTAATATTGTACTGGTTTTACCTCTTAGCTCTGGATCTAAGGCTGTAAAACTAATTAGATATGAATTTTTAAGGGGTAATTTCTGTTTCATATGCTGTGCTGTATTAGTATAAGCTTTCATCAGAGAAATTTTGGAATTCTTTTGCTATTGGATGATTTTTTGATAATTTCTTTTCTTCAGGATATGGAAGCTTCTGCACCAGTAAATATTACTTTGCTAGGTAGATGGAATTCTGGATTTGTGACATCAACCTTTAATAAATCATTATAAGATGTGCACTCTATATTTTCTGGCTTCATAAAAAAAGGGAAAAATTTTGCCATCAATTTATAAATACTGGAATGTATTAAATGAAGCATTGGATTTTTTGTTTCAAATAATTTAATATATGTGTTGAACTCTGGTAATACTGCTGAATATAATGCCATATGCAATAAAGTTTTGTTTTGCATAACAAATAATCCATTTAGTATTCTTTTTTTCCGAGCTAAAGCATCCTTTGTGAGTTGTTGGGAATGCAAGCAAGAATACACCCCTTCAAAAATTTTTATCTGAGCTGCAGAAATATTTCTTTTATTGTATACAGTTTCAACATAAGAAAAATAATCCTCTTTATCAGTTTTATCCAAGTAGTGAAAATAAAATGCAATAAGAGCATCCCACATCTTTGATTCTTTCTAAAACACATAAAATGTACACCCACCTATGGTCTGGTCTCTTCAAGGGCTTAAGTTTTTTAATGGCAAGGGATTCACAGATTTTGAAAAAATTTTCTCTTTTACTGCAGCTTTTCATATCAAAATAGATGTCATTAAACAATCTTCTAAGTATCTATCAAAACATGAAGCAAATTTTTTTGCACAGTTATTAGCTGTGTGACATGTGTCACCATCAATATCTAATAAGTGGGGTGCTTTGATTGTAGTCTAGTTTCAACACCCTTTTTTTTCCACGCATGGTGTTACATGAGTCCATTAATACACTAATTAAGTTTGCCCATGGAATATTATTATCTTCAATAGTATTAACAACTGCTTTAAAAACAGCTTCTGAATTGCAAGATTCCATCTTTAGAGATGCAAAATGATGAACTACAACTTCATTTTGATTGTTGTCATAAAACTGCACCAATATTGCCAGTATACTTTCTTGAGCATTGGTAGTACTTTCATCCAAATTTAGAGAAAATGGAGTCTCCTTTAAAGTTTTAATGATATTTTCCTTAATAGTTTTTGCGAGCCCATATTTCATCTTATAACATGCAGTAGTCCTGGACATTTCCAACGAGTTTAGTGCCGTCTGATCGTGGCTCAACTGTTTGCAGAGTTCAATTAAATTGGGAGCTACATTGAAAGAAAGAGAATTCTTGGCGATAAACGCAGTTATTAATACCTCTTGGCATGCTTTTCTTGTCACTACATCCAATGGCCGAGCATCAGTCTCCAGTAAGTCATCAGTATTTTTTTAATTAGCATAATTACTTAAAGTCATTGAATGTCTAATGCCCTTTGAATATTTTATGTGCGTCACAGTTTTAGAATGATTTGTGAAAGCCTTGAATCCTTACCCACCATACTTCAGCAGTGAGTTACAAAAAACACAATTTGCTTGTCCAGCAACATTTATTTTTTTGCACCATGTGCCGATGGTATCCCTATTACCATCTCTCCGTTCAATCCAATTCCACCTAAATGCATTCCGGACACCTTCTTCTAATTGTATAATATCACTATTTATATCGAGAAATTTCATAGTGAAATTCTCTTGCGTACATAAATAAAAAATATTTCAATAAACGAAACGAAAAATTTACACGTGCATCAATAAATGAAACGAAAATTTTACACAGCAGAGAAAAAAAAAGTTGAGAAGCGATCAATGACAAATAGCTAATACGGCGAAAAATCCCCCTTCTCTACTTATTGGCACCACGCCAGGAGAGATAAGACCTTTGAACCCAGAGTCATGTGATCGCACATCTGGTCGAACAAAGTCTCTCTTTTTTTTTTCTGCAGCGCCTACTTTCCGAAAAGAATGTCCGAGAACCGGGGGAATGAGTCATAACTCGCAATAAGGAAAGAACAAAAAAGAAGTTTTTTCCCCCTTTTCACGCATTATCACTGCCTTTGGAGAAAGAAAGGAAAAGTTTTCACCACACACACTGACCTTGGGTTTTCTGCTTTCAAAGCAAACAAATTACCCAGATCAAAATAAATAATTCATTATTATTCCTACTTCCTTTTGAACGATGATCCCCGGAATTTCCGGGTATCGAAGTTCAAAATCCCCGGAATTCCGGGGTTTCCCCGGACCACAAACACCCCTAAATTAATATTCTTACAACCTTCCTTACAACCGTTAGGTTCATTTATTTTTGGTGTCAGGAGATGACATCTACTGAATTTTGTGAACTCCAGCTGAAGACGAACCACAATACAACTGTAGACTGGAACATGCGTGAGGTGTGTGCCACAACCTTATTTACTTGGCCTAACTTGAAAATCGGTAGACAATGAAGGTAAAATTAGTGAAGTAGACAAAAGCCTTTTCAGTAGAAGAAAAAATAACATTGGACATGTTCTTCCACCACTATGTGTTTTTGGTGGATTATGCAGAGAATCGAATGAATGTTTCTTCATTGCTGTTCCAGAACGATCAGCAAAAACTTTATTGAACGTCTTAAAAGAAAATATTGCAGAAGAAAGCATTATTTATACTGACTGCTGGAAATCATACAAGTCGGATGAACTGCAAAATGTTGGTTTTGAACATTTTACTGTCAATCACAACTACAATTTTGTGGACCCCGAAAGTGAGCGTCATAGACAAACAATAGAGCGGCTGTGTTAAATGGTGTAATAAAAGTCGCACTACTCGACAGCATTTCGATTATTATTTTCCAAGTTTGTGTTCAGACGGTTACACAAAAAACAGAGGATACAGTGCAGAATCACACACTGCTTGGTGCGATTTTAAAAATTGCACATACTCGGTATCCATGTACACATCGACCTATTTTCACTTGAAAAAAATCCCAGAATTGCACTAAAACGGCACTGCGCACTTCCTTGACTTTATCTATGTACATATCAACCTATTTTCACTTAACAAGCAAAAGAAAATTGACAAAATTCTTCTTACCCTTGTAAAAAGCACCAAACAAATAATGGGACGATTCTGCACTTTACCTAAAACTGAAATATTCTCTGATATGTTGGAACACAAAAAAACTTATTTCTCCCGTTTAATTTCATTTATGCTTAGCCTTTTGCTTACAAATTATAATAACAAAAAAATGCATCTACTTGAAATTAACCTTTCATCTAAACTAAAACAATAATCTTAGATAGTTATTTACTATTATGTTTCCTTCCTTGCATTAGAGTTACCATAATTATTTTTGACAGCATTGGTATCAGGAGTTTGGCGATTTTTTACGGCCCTTTTAACGGAATAGTACCAAATATCCCTTTACATAAAAAATAGCTTTTCTATTCAAAATATATTAGTTAAATACACAATATTTAACATCTTAGGGTAACAAAATTGAGACATTTTGTCAGTTATAAAAAAATCAATTGAATGGGCTTGGTTTTGGTTAGAGAAGAATAATATTATTATCAATAGCACCACTTTTTTTTTTAATGTTCCCCAAAATACCGGTCACTAATAGTGCTAATAACTTGCAGGAGGTGGTCATCAATGAGAAGATTTATTATTAATTCAATAAATACTACCAAAAGCAAAATTAACCTTAAGTTTTAAATATGCAAAAAAATTTTTATATTTGACTTACGTTTTTGTACCCCCCTCAGAATCTTTAACAGGTTTCTTTGATTTCTGTTTTTCTTTGAGATATTTTTTGAGCTTTTCTGCTCTTTCTAAGTACTGGGCACATTTCGCTCGAATGCTTTCTTTTGCCTTATCACTCTGTGCTTCATCTATTAAAAGAATTAGCATTTATAATGTTATGCAGTACACATATAATTTCATACACAGACAATAAAATAGTTGCTTTTTTAATAATAAAAAAATTAATTTGAAGAGAAACCCAGCAATGTAAAATTCAAAACTGGGGGGGGGGAATCACTAGTTAGCACAGACTTTATATAAAATTCTGTCGATTTTGAAGGCAATTAGACACAGGTCCTTCTTCTTCAGGACTAGAGGAATTTCTTTTTGGGGAGGGGGGGGGCAAAGACGAGAGGAGTGAGAATCATTTTATAAAAATGGCAATGGGTAAAGCAAAACAAAAACAAAATGTAACATCATCTGTTAAGGAAAACAGCAATGGCAAAATTTGAATATTAGAATCCTGAAAGCATTAGGAAGAAATGGATAGAAATTAAAATCATTAACCAAAGATGATAAATTTTTGTGAACATGAAAAGCTTCAAGAAAATCTAATTCATGAACTGAGGAAGCTTTATGAATAATTTTTGAAGAATTAAAGTCTAATGAGATTAGACTAAAATCAATTGGAACTAAATATCTAACCACAGTTAATTATCAAAGACTTAAGCATTTTTATTTTTCTAACGTCAGATTAGCATTTCTTGACATGAAATTTCACTGCTCTTTTATTTTGTCTAACATCTATCTAACCATAATAACAATATATGTTATAACTTTCTCAAGAATGAAAATTAGAGATGGGATATTTAAGAATCAAACAATAAATTTTACTGACAAGTGAGAAAATGATTTTAATATCGAACTTCTGGAAAATTTGAGCAATTTTGTTACAGCCAGAAAGAAGAAGTAAGATGATGACATGGTTATTATAAATTACTTCTCATAGCGGAATGTCTTTTCTGATGTCAAGACAAAAATTTTTCAATGACTGGGAAAAAATTTTCTACCAGTTGCAATGATTTCAAATACAGTCAAAAGTCGTTAATTCGGACACCCATAATCCGGAATGATCTATAATCTGGACCTCAAAGCTAAAAACTTTCTGCGCGTGCGCCGCGTTGACACATGCGCATAGGCGTTTACGCGTGCACGTAAGACCTTTTACCACTGCGCATATGCGTTTGCGCAAGCGCAGAATACGTTTTCGTGTGCGCGTTTTATGTATAACGGACGGTATGATCTAAAATTATCTAATTATTTATTTCAGTTAATGTTGATGATTGCGTTGTTTCTTAATCTTCGAATTGGATCTGGTTTATTATTTTTGCAGACTGTAAGAGTAATTTTATAAAAGTAAACTTGAACTTTCGATTATGTCAAATAGAATTTCCGTTTCTGGAGCTCCCAAAGGATCGTACAAAACGAAAGTATGTTTCGATGTCCATCAAACAAAAAGTGGAATTGCTGCAAAAAATGGATAAAGACATGAAGAATGTGACAGAGAGGTTAGTGAAAACGAAAAAATTTCGATTGACAAGTTAGTCGGTATTCTCGGCACAACAATTAACGGGACTTGAACAGCGGAACTTTGTAACTGAACAAGAAATCGTGTCTGTTTATAGAATTAAAGAAAAAGTATTATCACATAAAACAAAGCAACTTAAAACAACTTACATTGAAAGAAATGTTTAATAAAGTAAACAAATAAATATTAAGCTTTTTCCTTTTTGTAAATTTTGATACCCTTTAGATTATAATTGTTCTTTATTTCATAAATTAAGGTTTCATATTTTTAATTTTAGAATTTCTGCATGCCATCTTACGAGATTTAAACTGATAATCTATAATCCGGAAAAATCGATAATCCGGAATCGCCGAAGTCCCGACGAGTCCGGATTAACGACTTTTGACTGTAATTAAATTCTCAGAACAAGCTTTGAAATCAAAATAAAAAAAAGAGACCCTTCTTTTTTTAGCATAATGTGATATGACTGAGCATTGGTTATGAATAAAGAGAAAAAAAAAAGAGTAAGCAATTCTGCTGAAAACAAATTCATTGCAGATAATTAAGACTATCAATGAAAGGAAGGAAATTAGATTGTTTCAAAAGTAAACAAGATAGTTGGAACAATCAAATTCATAACAGATGAAATATTGGTTAAGTCAACCATAATACAGTCAAAAGTCATTAATCCGGACTCATTGGGACTTCGGCGATTCCGGATTATGGATTTTTCCGGATTATAGATCATCAGTTAAATCTCGTAAGATGGCATGCAGAAATTCTAAAATTAAAAATATGAAACCGTAATTTATGAAATAAAGAACAATTATGATCTAAAGCAGTCTTTCCCAAAGTGGGTGATAACGCCCCCTTGTGGGTGTTTGAGACCTGGAGGGGGGCGTTAAGGGGCCCAGAAAAAAAATGGGGGCGATGGTAGATTTGTAATTTGATTTACTTTATATTTTAAATTTCACTAGAATTAAAACCTACCTACTACACAATAACGAATACTTAGTTTATATTTCTACCCTGTATGATGGTATAAAAACTTAAAATACTTAACATAGATTTTGTAGAATAGCCCGCACGCCGTATGCGCGTACGTTGTAAAATGACGAAAAGCATACGGCTGTGTAAATGCATGAATCGCCAAATGTGGCAAACATTCCGGGGGAAAAGACTAACTGCGGAAGCCGGTGCACTTATGATGTTGTGCTCCGTAGACATTTTCATTTGGAAAAACCTTCCGCGCTTTTACGCATGCGTCAGGTCTGCTTCGAGTTCATCAAAATAGGGTTGAGACAAAAGAGAAATGTTTACTTAACATGTGTGCTTCCGTGCTTCTGAAAAACCGGTCTGAGGAAAAAGTCCATCTCAGCGTATCGCCCCTTTTCAGAATAGAATTGTCGACAGGTGGCGGTTTTGCAATACGAAAACGGACTGTACGTGGTAGCAATCGGCTGGTTCATCGATACTTGTCCTAACTTGCTCAGTACGATTGAGCGTCGAAAGAGATAAACGAGTTTGTGCGTGTTTGTCTTATTCCTGTCGGTGCTTGCTGTATTTAAATCCTATATAAAAGCTCGTAATTTTTCTTATATTTTCATTAGTGGTTTCGCGCGCTATCTTTAAACGAGTATTTAAGTTCAACACTTTATTTACATATTTTTGAAAAAAAAAAAAAAAAAAAAAAAATGTTGCAAGCAAAAAAGAAGAAACGGCAATACAGTGCAGAATATATTAAATATGGATTCATAGAAAATTCGACAAACCCATCTTTGCCTTTGTGCCTTCTTTGTTCAAAAACATTTTCAAACGAAGCGATGAAGCCTTCAAGACTTCAAGATCATTTAAATAAAATGCATCCAGATAAGAAGGACAAAAATGTAGCCTATTTTCAAGATCTGGAAAAGAAGCATAATGCTCAGCCAAGTGTATCGAAACTTTTTTCGATGGCTGCTAAGCAAGACGATGACGGACTTCGAGCTTCATACAATATCTCTCTGTTAATTGCTCAAACAGGTAAACCACACACCATCGGAGAAACGTTAATTTTGCCGGCGATAAAAGAAGTTATAACTACTGTGCTCCATAAACCGGCGGCAGATATAATTCGAAAAATTCCTTTGAGCAATAATTCTGTGCAAAGACGAATTGATGAAATGGCTGAAAACATTGAAGAGTCATTGTGCAATCATCTGAAGACTAGTCAATTTTCAATTCAGTTGGATGAGTCCACTTTACCAACTAATGAAGCATTGTTGTTGTCTTACGTGAGGTTCATTAAAGATGAAAAAATATGTCAAGAACTTTTATTTGCTAGAAATTTAGAGATAGACACAAAAGGAGAAACTATATTTAAAACACTGAAAAAGTTTTGTGATGAAAAAGGAATTCCCTTGAAGAATATTACATCAGCTGCTACAGATGGTGCTCCAGGGTCTCAAAAAGGCTTCATGTCGTACTTAAAAAACAAAATTCCTGATGTGATTGCTGTACATTGCGTTATACATCGACAGCATTTAGTTGCTAGAAATTTAAGTGAACGACTGTTTCAATCATTGCAACATGTCATCAGAGCAGTCAATAAAATCCGAAACAACTCTTTAAATGACAGATTATTTAATCAGCTTTGTGTTACTAATGATGAAGATGTCAACAGATTGATCTTTCACACAGAAGTGCGTTGGCTATCAAAAAGAAATTGTCTGACTCGTTTTTACAATCTGTTTGACTCTGTCATAGAGTTCTTGGAAAACAAAGACACAGCATTGCGCGAAAAACCTCATCACATCAAAGAATGATATCCCATACCTGACAGACCTTTATACATTGTTTAATGATATGAATCTCCACCTTCAAGGCGATGACTTGAACTTAATAAAAACAAAAAATATCGTCGCTGCTTTCGTAGCCAAGCTGCTCTTACACAAGAAGAATATCGGCAGACGTGAGTTCCATAATTTTCCCAATTTATCAGTATCCTGCAACAACGACGACTTGCTCGTCTACTGCCAACATTTGGAAAATCTTCACAGTGATTTCATTGAAAGATTCCAGGACATTTTGAAATTGGAAATACCAGACTGGGTGTTAGATCTTTTTTAAAAGTCAACATAGCAATATCACCCCAGCTGGAAGAAGAACTTATAGAACTGACAACGAACGAGGAAATAAAAAAGCAAATTTAAAAATGGCTACCAACAATTTTGGCTACAAAAGTCAATTCCGCAATTGTACCCTGGATTGTGGTTGATCGTTCAACAATTTTTTATTTCATTCCCATCGTCATATTTGTGTGAACGTGGATTTAGTGCTGTGACAATGCTGCTTACTAAAAAAAGAAATAATTTGCAAGTTACCAAACGCGGCGACTTACGACTGTTTTTAAGTAAAATCAAACCTGATATCAACAAACTTGTTAAAAATCATCAAATCCATCCATCCCATTAGATTAGTTTAAAAACTAACATTGATTACCTATCTATGTTGTTTCTTTTAATTTGATTAAAATATATTATTAACATTATAAAGTTGCGTTTTAATTGCTCTCACTGGTAAAAATTTCTAGTTTAGAATGTA